GTTGGTGTGAAGGAGAAGAAACAAGGACATCCCCCATGACAGTCCTCAGCCAGAGTCCCACAAAGCTGCAGGTCCTTATCAAGAAGGAAAACAGGCCTTTTGAGGACTGGGGGGCAGCTGGGGGATTCCACACCAAGAAGCTCTAGCAGGGATGCGAGCAGAACTCTTCATCTTGTAGTCCAGGGAGATAATTTCCCCACTTTTTTTTTTTTACAAAAAAATTGCCTTCTTACACCCTGTTTTCCCTGAAAATAAGCCCTAGAAGGATTTTTCAGTTTGCTCGTCCTATGAGTCCTACCCCAAAAATAAGCCAGAGTTCAGTGAAACCCCGCCCTCCACCCTTGTGCAGCAACCAGAAGAGGACATAACTTTATTTGAATAAATCTAGATCGTTGCACATGAAAAAAAAATAAAATAAAACATCCCCTGAAAATAAGCCCTCATGCGTTCTTTGGAGCAAAAATTAATAAAAGACCCTGTCTTATTTTTGGGGACTCTCCCACCCACTTTCCACCCCAAAATCTGAATGCTCTTTTAAAAAAGGTGGCCTGAGGAATCTTGTGGGGCGGTGGTTCAACTGCAGTCCTGCAGTCAAGACTCTGAGGCTCAAGGACCTGAGTTTGATCCCGAGAGGCCCAGGTAGCTAGCGGGCTGGAGGTTGACTCAGCCTCCCATCCTTCCAAGGTCAAGAAAAGGAGTACCCAGGTTGTTGTTATTGTTGTTGGGGGATTTGTAGCCTGCATCATTAAACCACAATCCGCCCAGAGTGTGCTTTAAGCCTTATAGGGGCAATAGATTAACATCATACTTTGCTTTGTTTTTGCTTCACTGTCTCCTCTCGTCTGCTTGAAGGGGATGCTAGCCTGGCCGGCCCTCTCCATTTCTCCTGCTGTCAGGCGGCGGCAGCAGCTCTCTTCCTGAGACCTGCAGGGTAGGCTGTCTTCCTTTATGGGCCTTCCCTTGAAGGGCTCTGTAGTCGGAAAATCTCAAAAGAGGGATAACAAACTGTAAGAAAGGGGCAAATCGATCACCGTATAAACCCCCAAAAGGTCAAGGGTTCGTTCCTTGATGTCCAAAAATGTCCTCATGCCCCAGACACGGAAACCTGAGCGACAGAGGAGAGAAAGCGCTACCTTTCCCTAGGTACCCGGTTGGTCTCAAAAGCCAGGTCTAGGGAGGAATGGCAGCCGAAAGCAACACAGGGAGATGTAACACGGTATTTGGGAGGCGCTGCAGTACAGCAAGAAAGGGGCAAAGTGTGTCCCTCCAGATGCGGTTAGATTACAACTCCCATCATCCATAAGCAGCACAAACCAGGCATGAGGACATCTGGATGTTACAGACCCCCAGCAGAGGCTTCGGGAGAGGAGTGGGTAGGGAACGCCTGTCCCTCTTGATCCATGGTTTCCAATCTTGGGTCCCTCCCCCAAGAGGTTCTTGGACTACAACTCCCAGAAGCCTTCGCCATGAGCTGTTGCTGGCCAGGATGCCTGGGAGTCGTAGTCTGAGACTATCTGGGGACCCAAAGTTGGCAAACTATTGCTCCAGATGTTTTAACCGACACCTTCCACCAGTTGCACCCCTGCTGGAAGGGATTCTGGGAGTAACTCAGCCAAAACATCTGGCGTGGCCAAGTGTTGCCTTTCTCTAACATGGGGGGGGGCAGGCCAGATGGTGTTCGAAAACCACCACCCCCAATAACTCCCGGTTTTAAACAGATTCTCCCTAGAACAGTAACCGGCAGGACAAAGAGAATTTATCACGGCAAAGAAAGGAGGACATTCCATGGGCGAGCAGTTGCCCTACCTAACCCAATATTATCTGTACTTAATGGCTTGGCTAGATGGACTAATAGCCCAATCGGCTAGAACAGAAAGTTCCTCCTTTCCTGAAAGGGACACCCTCCCAAGCTTCGTATTCCTGCATTTATTAATCCTTCGAGAAGCAATCATTTTGTATTAAACAAAAGTCGGTTTACAGCATTAGGCTTATTGGAGACATTTCTTTTTTTAAAAGGGATATTGTGAACCCGCTCTCTTAGATTGCTCAACCTTACCTTAACATCTTAGTTTTTTGTTTTTTAGCAAGGACACAAGATGAATAATCTCTGGTTGCTTGCAATTTGGTCTTTCCTTCAAGCTCTGATTTAGTGTGTGCCGTGCCTCACCCCCTTCTAAACAAATTTTAACACAACTCATAGCTGGACACATTTATCCTTTGGGGGCCAACAGCCACCGATGACTAAAGCGATGACGTCACAAATGTATTTGTGATGACATCACAAACACATCAGTAAAAAACCCAACAATCTTGGTGCATACAATTTAAGGCCAACATTTTGAGAAAAATAGGCTTTAATTTATTATTGTACACAACCCAACCTGCTGCGAGTAGTTTTGTAGCCTGGGTACCATGAAATGTTTAACATTCAAACAGAAGAGGTCTGGATACATTTAATAACAAGTATAAAATATTGTCCTTTAAAAAAAGGCTACATACAAATCAATGCAACTGACCGCTGGAGGGAGCCAAAGACCACATGATGCAGAGCGTTCCCTATAATCCACGTTTTTCCGCATCTGCGGAGGGGGAACCCCGTGGATACTGGGGCCCTCCTGAAAATCTGTTTCCCTTCAGGGGGCATTTCTTTCCTAGAAGGATCTGGGGAGCACACACTAGGTGGGTGGAAAGGCCAACCCGTTAGCCAGGGCGCCAGGGCCTGGAGAGGCTGCTTTGGAAAGGGCCGGGGTCGTTACGTTATAGGTGACCCGTCGTTAAGAGAGGGAATCCCTCAACTGTGGAAAGCGTTTCTTTTCCACCCACCCACACACCCCTCACCTGTGCCTGTAGTTTGCAGAAGGCCTGGGTTTGTTTTGTGACTCGAGGAGGGGAAGGAAGCCCCGGTTTCGTCTGCCTGCCCCCCCCCCCCCCCATCCTGAAATGGAAATGCTAAGCAACTTCTAATTATGAGCAAGATTCTTTGTTTTTCTTTTTGGTGCTGGTGGGTTCATTCTCCTTTGGTCTGTTTCAAGCACGAGCGATCGTTGGGAGACCCTTAAGCTGTCATTCAGTTTTATGGTACAGGAACCGTGCAGAGGTCAAAACCCTGCAGATAACAGGGAACATTAACATAGCCTGGTCTCTGGCTCCCTGTAATGGCCAGATCTGGTAATACATGTAAAAATACTCTCCCCTCCTTTACCATATTATGAACGGTGTTCCTTATTATCTGCGGTTTTCGGCATCCACAAGAGGGCAGATCTAGACCAACTGCATATAAAGAAGGCGTTGAGGGAAGTAGGGAAGAAATTGGAGACCGAAGGCCGAGAAGGCTGAGGACAGTCCCGCCCGAGGACCCCCAAGGAGCAGGGCCACTCAAAGAAGACCCCCGGGCTGGGAACTGTGTTGGGTACATTTACATCATCATCATCATCTTAGAACAGCAGAGGTGGAAGGGACCTTACGGGCAGCCCATCCAACCCGTCAAGGAGGCACAGCAGGGATTCAAACTCCCCACCTATAAGCGCATAGGAAGCGGCCGAAGGAGCCACTGTTTTCCATACCTTGTAGGATGATGTTAGCGGGGGTGGGGGTTGGGAAGAGAGGGTTTGCTGGGACAGGACATCCCTCTCCGTCCACCCGCCGGCCCTCCATGGGTGGTTTTCCTTGCTCTCTCCCGCCTTGTTCCAGGGCCAGTCCCAGGGGGTCCCTGGCCATCCGGGTTGCCCCCCTTCTGCCCGGGTAAGGAAGGCGCCGTCCGAGGCTTCGTGTCCCCCCCAACCAGGGAACGATTCCTGAGGGGGAGCCGAGATCCCCATTTGGGCAGAGGAGGAACCCCCGCCTCCATGGCCGGCCGCGTCCAAGGGGACCCCCATGCCCTGGAGGAGCGCTCCCCGTCACAGCCCTGCTCAGCTCTGGCCAACTTCAAAGTGGGGGCTTCCTTGAGGGAGCCCGTCCATCTCGCGTTCGGCCTTCCTCTTCTCCCTCTGCCTTCCGAGATGAGAGGAACAAGCAACAGCAGCTGCCGAAAAGCTTTTTTTTGTAAAAGCATAGAAAATGTCAAAGTCCCCTGATCCTCCTTGTTGCCTTCCTCTGAACTTGCTCCAGTTCGTCTGCATCCTTCTTCAAGGGCGGTCTTCAAGAAGGGGCCTAACCAGTGCTGAATAAAGGGGAACCCATACCTTATGGGATTTGCAGACTCTGCTTCTATTAATGCGGCCTAAAATGGCATTGGCCTTTTTTGCAGCCACATCACACTGTCGGCTCATATTCAACTTTTGATCTACAACACTTTCAAGATCCTTCTCACTCCTAGTATGACTGAGCCAAGTGTCCCAATTCTTGTTAACTACATTTGATCCCGCCCCCCAGGTATAGAACTTTGCACTTATTCCTGTTAAATTCCATCCTGTTGTTTCCAGCCCAGTGCTCAAGCCTATCAAGATACTGTAATTTTGAATTTTGTTCCTTGTCTTCCAGGATTTTAGCTATTCTGCCCAACGTTGTGTCATCTGCAGATTTTATTAGCATTGCCTGCACCCCATGATGCAGGGCATTGATAAAAATATTGAAAAGCACCGGGCCAAGGAACGAGTCTTGGGGTACCCTGCTTGTTACCTCCTCCCAGTTATGAGCTGTCAATAATTACCCTCTGAGTATGATTCTGTAACTGATGGTGTATCCGCCTAGGAGTTGTTCAATACAGTCCACACCTAGTTAGCTTCTAATCAGATTATCACTGGGCACTTTTGTATAACTGTGTATATGTTCTGGCTGTTGAAGAGTTGTGTAAGTTTCTCACAATAGGGACTGCACCACATTTTTATCTTTATGCAAAACATCTGATTGAAGATAGGAGAACGGTATCCAGCATCTAACTTCTCCATCGGTTCACTTTCTTCCCAAGGAACTCTTCCGTGGGTGGCAAGTGAAAACTGACTCATTAAGTGGGGCTATTAATGTAACGCAACCACGTCAGAAGTCACAGATAGCAGCAGAAATGACTTCTTCAGAGCCCTCTTTTTTAGCTACCAGAATGGTTTTGGGTCAAATGCTGGGGGTGCTCAGCTACGCTATCCTTTTCATCCTCTGCTCACTAATTGCTTGGGCCCTTTATTATGATATAACCAGGACGCATCTGCCTCCAGGAATCAGCTACCCTGCAAGACTCCGGCTGGCGAGTATACTTGTAAATATCTTCTTTGGACTGGTAAGTTCCTGCAATTTTAAGATTCTATAGACAAGCAGCATTTCCTCTGTGCGACCTTACTTAGATTGGCTGTAATTAGCAGGGGCTGCGGAAATAAAATTGGTGTGAACTTTCTTAATTTTATGTTTTTGAACTGAAACAAGGCTGGCCTGCAATATTTGCTCTTTTTCTCTAAGCTGCAATGGAGTTCTTTCAACGAGGAAAAATGAATTAAAATGTATGATTTAACCTGATTTCACATTTTTCGAACAAACCATAACAATATTCCATCATCAGTTCTGAGTTACAGTGCTTTCTGAGTTCAACCTCTGTTTAACGAATGCCAGTCGCAAAAATCTAATTATTCTGATATATATCCACTTTTCAACATCTTTCAGTGGAGTTCTCTGCATAGAAGGCTGGGGCTGTTAGGGGTTTTTGGAACATAAAAACCTGCATTTCTTGCTTTAAAAATGTTTACGGTGTAATAATGTAATACAAGAACAAACATTTTAATGGAAAGAGCATTTTACTGAAAACAACCTTTAAATACACAATGACTGAAATCCTCTTGCACAGCTTTATGTTGCATGAGCAGGAAAATACCATCACCAGGCAACTATATTTCAAATTTTAAAAATGCATAAAGAGATGTAATAGAAGAAAGGCTTACTTTGCCAAAGTTAAGGAATAACCTGTTTAATACGAGGGAAATGGGAAAGAAAGAGTTGTGCCGATTTCCCTTGTGAGGCTTCAGTTAAGGACCTTCCACCGCCCCCCCGGCCCATGAATAGAACAGAGCTCCAATATATAATAATATTAAAGAGCAATATATATAGGAGCTCTGTTCAGAGCACCAACAGAGCACCAATATATATATAAAGGAAGTGGTATGAACCTTCTCTCCCTCTCCCCTTTTCCCTTCCCTTCTTTACTCACTTTTGTTTTAAGATCACCAGGAGAGGTCTTTCTCTGGTCCCGCCCCTTTAACAGGTGCATTTCATGGGGACACAGGAGAGGGCTTTCTCAGTTTTTTAAAAATACCCCCCCCCATGAATTGACAAATAACTTCGCGCTTTGTTGGTTCATGGGGGCAACTTCGTGAGTCATCAACTTTTGACCACTCACAAAGCAGGATGACTCACCAAAATGGTGAGTCGTCCCAATCTCTAATAGTTATGCATTACTGCTTTCACTTAATTTTTAGTACTACTTGTGTTTTCCATTTCTCAAAGCGGCATTTTTTAATTTTTTGTATACTTATTGATCTTTGCCTTATTATTGCCTGTTAATTGATGCAAGAAGCTTCCGTATTCATTGTTTGTAATTTTAAATATCCTATTTTAATAATGTTAACCACTGTTGTAATCTTGTAGTTTTCCACTTTAAATACAGTATTGTCTTCCATTGTTGTAAGCTGCCGTAGATCTTCTTCAAGGAGAATGGCGTGATAAAAAATATTTTAAGTAAATAAATAAATCTCTCCCTTTCAGTTCTTGGCTTTAATTTCTCTTTTCCCTTTTGAACAGAGGCAGGAGGAGGAAGGGAATTTTGAAGGACTTGCAAAGCACCATGAAAAACAGGGTTTTAAAAAAAAATGCAATGTTCCTTTTTTTACAATTAGAAGCAGGAAATCTAAAGCCCACTTTAACCCACATAGAAGTGAGGGGAGGTTGTTTCCTTCTGAGCAATATATTCATGTTGTTTTTTTGTGGTAGTGGCACTATCAGCTACTACTACTGATTTGTCAATATCCCTTTAGAATTATTTTTTTAAAGGGTACAAGCACAGTGGCCACAAAGTGGCCGCAGTGCCCAGAAACCCTACCCCTTTCACAAAGGAAATAAATTGACAGCAACATTCACACACTGAGGAAAAGATAAAGAATCAAGGAGTTCATCATCAGTACGATTTAAAGCAACCCTCCTGGCAAGAGGGGAATACATCATTTGCCAGGGCAAATGAATCAATGTTGGCCGTGCGTCATGTGAAGGGAAAATTATGAAATAATTTATAGCCAGATCAGTACAACTGGGGTTCTTTTAGCAGGTGCAGTTGATTCCCTGAGCATAGCTCTGCAGGAGGAAGTCCCTTTCCGGAGTCTTGCTTTAGGCAAGCGCACCAGATTGTGTCCCTTTGCAAAGAGAGGGTTTTTCCTTGCCACTTCTCCAAAAGTTTTGACGCTCCCTCACTCAAATGGCTTTCTCTCTCTCACACACACACACACCTGAAGCCCAGGCAGGTGGGAAGTTTCATATTTTGTTTGTTGCTTGCCTGCACCATTAAAAGCAATCTCTTCGCTGAAGTCAATTTGAAGAACTTTTAGCTAATTATCTGCCCTGGGAAGACAGATCTGATCTTGATTCTGCCTTCACTGCAGGCTGAAATGTTTTCCACCGATCTTCCTTTCCCAGGTGCAAAGCTGGAGCACCAGGGGGTGAAGGGACAGGTGGAGAAGGGAACACAGCAGGGAAAAAATGAGAAAGGTTAGATGGACTTTGCCCAGGTTCACTGTGCTCTCTCACACATCCCTCCATTTGCTTTCCAGTACACAGAGCTAATCCAGATGATCGGGGATAACAGGTGATACCTTAGTACTTCACAGAACTCCTGCTTCCACCATGAACTTCCCTTCCTACACTTTCATACCAGGCAGGATGTCTGAGTGTTGCCCAATTTTAGGTGGGGACCATCCCTGGCGGAAGACCAAGAAAAGGAGACTGGTGTGATGCAACACAGTTTTAATGAAACCCAGAAATACACGCTGGTGGCTTTGGCCTAGAGGCCAGCAAAAGCCCCTTACAAAGACAGAAGCCCCCTCTTATAGCTTGCTTACCAGTTTCTTCTGCTAAAGAGTTGAGAAGGGTGGCTCATATGGCACCAGAGGCAAGGCCTGGACAACGGGTTTCAGCTGGATTTGGGACAGTACTGGCCACCCCTGAGAAGACCTGTGTATTCAGCTGCATGTTGTCTAGACCCTTCTGGAGCCCCCTTTGCAAGGCTACCCGCCTGTGTCCCCGCACAAGCCATACAACTAGAGCAAAAAAAACGTTCCAAAGAAACATTGCTGAAAACAGGCACCCTGACACTGGCGAGAAACAAGATTCACAGCCCCCGTGGCAGAGCTGCATCAACAGTCCTAGTTACATGACGAACATGAGGGTCCTGACCCCAAGAGAGGTCCAGAGACAGAAGACTAGGAGCAGGCGGTTGCACCCAGATTGGATGGATGGATGGATGGATGGATGGATGGATGGATGGATGGATGGATGGATGGATGGATGG